AGCAAAAACGCCAATTGGAAACTTTATGTTTTAGATATAGATGCGCCATTTCATGTGGAACTCAAAAATTGGATTAGAAATAACGCGTCTGAAACTTTTTATTTCTTTTTGGACGGTTTTGTATAAAGGAAAATTTTTTCGTTTGCTGTTTTGAACCTATAATTAACGTTTTATAATTTATTTCTCAGAAAATTAAAAAAAAATAAAATAAAAAAAAAAAAGTAATAATAATAAAATTAAGAAATATTAAGTTTAATGGACAAAATGTTCATTCGATTTCACTAAAATGTGATTAAATTAACTGCAAATCTATACTTTGATTTATAAAAAATATGATGTATCCTTTAAAGTGCGATTTACGGAAAAGTGAATTAGGATGAAGGCAATTAAAATCACTCACATTCTTCTCTCCCAATATGCATATTTTACTAATGATTTAGATGTTTGTACTTTTTTTTATTAAAATTTCTTCAATAGTTATTTTTCGTGTCATTTCGACCAACGATCGGACTTTTTACAAGTTGTTCATTATACTTACACTTGATAATATTAATCGCGCTGCATAGAAACATCCTTTAAATTAACCGTACAATTCTCTCCTTCACGTTGTTTAATGCGTTTTGAATCGACAATATGTAATTCATTGTTGTGAAATGCAACCAAAAAAATTTATTTATTCTGAAATACAAACAAATTTTTTTTTATTTCATGAACAGTGCATGAGTTGAAGAATATTTATTAATTTAAATATATGAGTGAACGGCCAACGATACATGTTTACAACAAACAAGTAAAAACAGTAAATTCGGCCGGGCCGAACTTTGAATACCCTCCACCATTTAGAACGAATTTGTAAATTTTCGAAAAAGATAATATTCGACAAAATTTGTGCTAAATCTTATAATACCGAATATAGCCGTTATATTAGGGTCTGCACGACGTGCACCTACGTAGGCATTGTTTGTCATAAGCCATTACCATATTCCAAACTTGAATAACGGTGAATAATATAGCAAAAATCAGAGCTATACGAAACCTGGACCTGCATAGACAATTTTCTGTAGTTCCCATTACGAACTCTAAATATGTAATTTGAAACTACTCCGGTGAATAATCGCTAAAATCATCAAATTACCGAATATAGGGAGGTACCGTTATATGGGGCCTATACGAAGACGTGGACCTGCATAGACAATTTTGTGTCTCAGGCTGTAGCATGCATTTCGAACTTCAATGTCAAATTTGAAACAATTCTGGAAAATGTGTCGCTGAAATCATAAAATACCGAATATCGGGAGGTACCGTTATATGAAGGCTATATGAAAACGTGGACATACCATTTACGAACTTAACCTGCCTACTGGCAAAATAAAAATTTGTCAAAAAGTTTAGCCTTCTATCTCAATCCGTTCGAAAGATAGCGTAATTACAACAGACAGACATATATACAGACGGACGGACGTCCTCTAGATCGACTTAGAATTTTACGCTGATCAAGAATATAATACGTTTTTGGGTCTGACATGAGTATTTCGAGGAGTTACAAACGGATGACAAAATTATACACCCTCCATAGTATGGTGGAGGGTATAAAACGTAGATAGAGCTACTAGCAAACTACATTTTTTTTCTAAGTGTGCCTGACCTCTGCCAATTTGTGTATGTATTATATAGTTTTTAAAATAAAATACTTTTAAAATAAGTGATTGGAAGAAACGTACATTACGGACGCGCATTAAAGCTATTCGCCTGCTTATTGTACCATGCAAGGGTGAGCGTCAATAGCTCGTCTAGAATACTCATTTGAAAAGCATTTATATTTTAAGTCCTTTAAATTTCATATCTTCATAACAGTTTGGGCCCAATATGGGACAACAGCATAGGATTCAACTTTGTGGTCCCCTCTTTTGGAAAGAGCGTTGAAAAAGCTTAAATCTCATCTAAAATGTTATTAAATTCCATTTATCTATTGAAATGCTAAGCTTGTACACCATAAATATTTCTAATTTTATTGTTGTCTTAAGAATGATCTGTGTTCAGGGAATGAAAAATTAATTATTATAAATATTGTGTGAAACCCTTACAAATCGAAAGTGAAACTACCGTGTGAACATAGTGATATATTCCTTCAATAGCGCACAGATTATAATCAACTCTCATATTTATCTTTGCGCTTTCCAATATATTGTGCCTACCATGTGTACAACACATAACTGATTTGATTGTTTACAAAAATGTGTATTATATCCCAATCAACACTACTGAAACTTGAATGGAAAAGCGGAGATAAGTTTTCGGCCAAGGATGAAGAAAAGAACTGAAATACTGAAATTTATGTGTGTGTCACGGTTGGTGTCTGTGACTGCGATTTGGCGGTGATTTAGTAATGCATCCAATATTTGTACGAAAAGTTCTCTGAACGTCTCTAGTTTAGTAAAAACACTTCGATTATTTCGAAATTTCTTCCAGAGGTAAGTATTTTTACCCTGATTCCGGGAAGCTATTTTTTCTTGGTGGACGGACCTGGGACCCCAGATTTTTTATCCGAAAGTCCGGGTACAATACCCGGCCTGGAACGGATACACTTACCCGATATAGTGGTCACATGATGGAGTAAGTGGTCATGGTTCGGAAGTTATAGTCAAATTATCGTTTTTTTGGGCTCGGATTTTTTATGAAACCCCCAGAAAGTCAGAGAAGTCCCATTATGGGGATCAACAAAATTGATGCCAAACTATAGCTGACACTCTTCTTTCCAAAATGCTACAATTTGTGCTAATACCTTTTCCGGGTCCAGAGATATGGGTCTTTCCATCCGCATAACTCGATTCTAACCAGTTCATTAAAATTATGTTTTCAAAATGTTCTAAATTTGACATTTTTTTTAAAAGCCGGCCTTCGGACGGGGCTTGAGATTTCTCCTCTGGGTATGTCCAACGTCCAAGTTTGCTAATGTGATGTTTTGTAATCCAACGACGCTACGCGAATAAGCTTTTTATTGGAAACATAATTTTAATAAACTGGTTAGAATCGGGTTATGCAGATGAAGGACCCATTTATCTGGACTCAGTAAAGGTAATTAGCACAAATTGTAACATTTTACAAATGTAAGAGTATCAGCTATTATTTGGCAATTTTGTTGACCAACATAGTGGGCCCTTTGTGACTTTTTGGGGGTTTTACAAAAAATCCGGGTTCCAAAAAAATTGATAATTTGACTATAACGTCCGACCGTGACTACTTACCCCATCATGTGACCACTTGTTGGATATTGTCCATATCGGGTAAGTGCATCCGGGTCCAGGCCGGTTCTTGAACCCGAAAAAAAATAGTTTCCCGGATCAGGTTCAAAATACCTACCACTAGAAAAAAATGGAAGAGTTTTTACTAACTAGAGTTTGTAAGGGTAAATAATGAAATGAAAATGAAAAACCTAGATCTCTATGGTACTATATTTGTTATTGGGGAAAGAATGAAGCTGAAATCCTGAATTGCATACTTAGTGTACTCTGTGTATTATAATTGTACGAAAATTCTAATTTGTACTAATTGGGTGTTGAGTGAAGGTTAGTGTCTGTATTTGAGAGAGGAAAATGGTTTTGGAAAAAATTTGTCCTAGAATCGATGAACAAAGTGTGCATTTTTATACCCTCCACCATACTATGGAGGGTATATTAACCTTGTCATTCCGTTTGTAACTCCTCGAAATACCCATGTCAGACCCAACAAAGTATATATATCCTTGATCAGCGTAAAATTCTAAGTCGATTTAGCGATGTCCGTCTGTCTGTCTGTCCACTAGCCCACGCTATCTTCGAACGAATGGAGATAGAAAGCTACACACATTTTTATTTTTCCAGTAGGCAGGTTAAGTTCGTAATGGGGCCATGTAGGTCCACGTTTTCATATAGCCCCCATATAAGGGTACCTCCCTATATTCGGTATTTTGATGATTTTAGCGACATTATTCACCGGAATTGTTTCAAATTTAGTATTGAAGTTCGAAATGGATACTACAGCCTAAGACAAAATTATCTGTGCAGGTCCCCGTCTTCATATAGCCCCATATAACGGTACCTCCCGATATTCGGTATTTTGCTGATTTTAGCGACATTATTCACCGGAATTGTTTCAAATTTGGTATTTGAAGTTCGAAATGGATACTACAGCCTAAGACAGAAAATTGTCTATGCAGGACCAATTTGTCCATTTTGATGATTTTTGCTACATTATTTACCGTTTATTTCAAGTTTCGCATTTGAATATGGTATGGTTTATAACAAAAAAATGCCTATGTAGGTCCATGTCGTACAGACCCCAATATAGGGGCTATATCCGGTATTTTTAAATTTTTAAACAGAATTTGTTAAGGATTTTTTGAATTTTTCAAGTTCGTTCCAAAATGATGGAGGGTATTCAAAGTTCGGCCCGGCCGAACTTACTGCTTTTAACTTGTTAGTACTAAACTGGTGGAAATTAAAAAAAGCATACAACAAGTATGATTTGTTTTCACGTTTTTGGCAACAATATTTTAGGTATTTTATTAACAATATAGAAATGCTGGTTTGTTTTGAGTGGTGGCTTATAGGAAAATTAGAAGAATTACATTTTTGTCTTTGACGCTACACTTCTAAACTAGTGCTTTGGCAAGATTATTTTTATAAATTCATATGAATTGCACTGTAAACTCAAAATGTGTTAAAATTATTCTGACATATATGTGCGAATTTTCAGTTTTACTTGCTACAAACCCGTTTAAAGTGAATATATTGCTGTCGGTAAAATTTAGGAAGATGTGGAATGTGTGAAACGGAGAGAACTTGGTTCTTCTGTTTGGTTACTTCACTATGTAAACACTTAAAACACTGGTACTCTACTCTCAAATTTTGGGAAAGTTGGATTTTATTTGGATAGTGTAATTAATTTCTTACCTTGTAGATACACAACGTTCCTCGGTTATTCCTTAAAGGATGAATCTTTACGGAATTGTTTGGGACATATTCTCAATGGATTCTCTTATGGCCGACATTGTAGATGGGGAATAACATCTTGTTTTCCTCAAAGCAGACTTGTCATCATTTATTTGTGCTCCTTCAACGAACTCATCCCTTGTTGCATAGGTTGTTGTACAAATTTGTTCAACTTCTTTAGATGCAATTACTTCTCCTTTTTTTATTTTGTGTAGATATTCCATGTCATCTGTATAGTTATTCGAAATAAATATATTTTAGTATTGTATTGAAACATTAAAAAATTCAACTATTTATTTGAGAATTTAGGAAATATTTTCCAAAACAACTCTACATTCATTGTCGCACAGTGTTAGCTAGCCATAACTATAATTTTTGTATATATTGCATGTTCAATTTACCACTTGCAAGGATTAATATAGCCGAGTAGGAACAGCCTTTATATTTAACGGTGCAATTTTGTCCATTGTTTTGCCTAACAGATTTTGATTTACGACCCATAGGTCCTCGTTGAAAAATTTCACCAGAGAAAACATTGTGAGACTAAAAAGAGAAACAATACGAAAATGAGAATAAGAGAAATTTAGGTGTTTAAGTAGAGTTGTGTGAATAGAAAAAATTGGAACCAGAATTCATACCACCAAGCCTGATCTCATCTAGCATGTCACTTTCACGTTGGAAATCGTTCCAAAGGCCCTATTATTGTTCTATGAAAATTTGAAATGAAGAGCTTACAAAGGAAATATCTTTTATATTAATTGCTTTTCAGAAATCTTATTATACACTCAGCCATAGTATGGAGGGTATATTAAGTTTGTCATTCCGTTTGTACCACATCGAAATATACATTTTACACCCCACAAAGAACACATGTTCTTGATCAGCATAAGATTCTAAGTTGATTTAGCAATGTCCGTCTGTGGAAATCACTCTAGCTTTCGAGCGAAATGAAGTAGATTGATGAAATTTTACTCAGATGTATATAATGTCTGCAGAAATTTTGGTATTGAACATATGCCATATAGGTCGACGTCTTCGCATAGCCCCCATATGACAGTACCTCTCGATATTCGGTATTTTAATAATTTTAGGGACATTTTTCATCGAAATTGTTTCAAACTTAGCATTTAAAGTTCGCAATGGGTACTACAACCTATGACAGAAAAATATTTATGCAGGTCCACATCTTCGGATAGCCCCCTCATAACGGTACCTCCCGATATTCGGTATTTTTATGATTTTAGCGGCATTTTCACCGACTTGTTTCAAACAAAGCATTTTAAGTTTGTAATGGGTACTACAACCTATAACAGTAAATTGTCTATGCAGGTCCACATCATCGAAGAGCCCCCATTTAGTGGTTCCTCTCGATATGCTGTATTTTAATGATTTAAAAGATATTATTATAGGAATTATTCCAAATTTCATATTTGAAGTTCCTTACGGGTTCTACAGTCTATGGCAGATTACCTTTGTAATCATCATTTTTAAGTCAAAAAAATAGAATATTGGTATTTGTAAGTAAGTAAATAAAAAGGGCCTTTTTATAAAGGCAAGTTCTGGTACAAAAAACTCAAGCACAAACAAACCGAAAATTTAATTAGGTAATCACGAAATAACAATCGTTCTGTAATAAAATTGAATAAATATCTTCAAATACATTATATGATCGTAAAACCTCGAAATATTGGTTCTAGTCCCACGATGCTGCCTACCGTTCTTCCGATCTCAACGAACTGAGTCGATCAAACTGTGCGTATTCGTCCGTCTGTATATGTTAATTTGTAATCCCTCAACAGGTAACATTTATGGTCCTCATTAGTGTAAAGTCCACAATAAAAGCATATTGTCTGGAGATTAATACTTTGAAATGGACCAAACCCCGATTTTACCTGATTTTGTAGTCACTGTGCATGTCACAATTATAAACCAGTCGACGCGGAAATTTATCAAGTGAAGTGACTTGATTCGTTAAGTGGTTATTTTATTTTTCACGCAAAAGTTATGGTCAATTTCACCCGCAAAATATTATCCTGAACTCTAATCCGATACAAATTTCCGCATCTATTGTAACATGCAGAGGGACTTAAAATTGAGAAAATTTGTTTTTGGTCCATTTGAAACCCTAATATTTTGCTATCATAACCATAATTGAGATATATAGCGTGGGTACAAATTAATATAGATGAACCGATTTTATAAAAAGAACTTTTACTCCCTGACCAAAAAAAGTAAATGAACTCAAATTAAAAATTATATTGTCTGGGTAGAATTGCTGTTGCCTAGAAAATTTTTCAATGAACAGGCCAAAAATTTCCATAGAACAGTAATCCGGTTCCAAACTTTATTCACTAAAATAAATGAATTGACGGACGGGCAAGCTTAAATCGACAAAAACACTTACCTTCCTTTTCCTTTAAAATTGTTTGTAACTTTTAATTTTTTTGTAATTCACACTTTTTAATTAATTTTTTATGGGCGCGTTTTGGTGTTCACAATGTGCTTGCTATAACTTTTTCTTCGTTAATAATCTAACCTTTTTGATGGCGTCTTTTAAAACGGTTTTTTGTGAGTACAGAAATTCTAACGGCACTTTTTCAAGCTTTTCGATAAACGATTTATATCGAAAGCCAATTATGATCATTTTATGTTATGTTATGTTCTCATTGCACTTTTAATCAATTTGATGGCTTTCAGAATTAGGTACACGAATCAACCCGTTCATATTCGTAACTCAAAGTAACACAATTCCTTTTTTCAAATTTTTTGTTTGTTGATTTTTATAGGAATTTGTATGAAAGTACATGAAAAGAGCATTAATGATAATAGAAGAAATTATTGATTTTCCTCCAAAGATTTATTTTATCTTTCATTTAAGATTTTTCATTCGTGTTTTGAAGTTTTTGTATAAATGTTGATATTTGAAATATATTTTTGTATTTTCTCATTTTAAAATCAGTTGGAGGGTCACTTGTCAAAAATTTTTTTTGTCGATAAAAAAATTTGAAAATATTGTCTCTATCTAACTCTAACTCGTGGACAAAATGCGTACCTCGGATGAGAGAGAGAAAACTAACTTTCGTTTGAATGTACCAACGAAAAGAACAAAAATGTTTGTTCGCTGAGCAAATTTTGTGTGAAGAATTAAGTTGATATTTATTAAATAGCGGTCGAACTTCATGAACTATGGAAACAACGACTTAATTCTACACAAAATATTTCCTGGGCGAACACTCATCAAAACAATGAAAAATATGTCCCATCCTTAACATATGAGAGCATTTAAAATAAATTACGACATTTGAAAATGCAAAATAGAAATATTTAATGAAATTTTAATAATTTACAGGAAAACTAAAGATTATGAATGCAAAATATAATGTTGAATGGTGTATGTACATTCAGACGAAAGAAAAATTCGTTCTCTATCTAATCCATGGTATGCATATTGTTCATACGAATCAGGACTAATGCGCACAATTCTAGAAACAAAAATAAATGCATTTTTCGAATGCCTGTATCAATAACAATTCTTGACATGTCTCTCTTCTGTAGAGTTGAAAATTGCAAAAATATTACAATGTCAATAGTGAAAAGAAAAAGGGCGAGTATATTATCATTAATTTCAACTATCTCGCCAACTTACGAAATTAAATTGATAAAATTTAAGCGCATTTATACTTTTGAAGATTAAACCAGTGAGTTTAATAGGTGCAGTGGGTTAATTTTGTTTGTTTAAATACACCCTTACGAGGATATAAATATAGCTCAGCTGATGTTTATCTATACATACACAACCGGAATAAAATGCAAAATATTGCAAAAAAGGTGTAGCGAAAAAGCGAGACTATTCTATTTCTGTATTTTTATTCTGGTTGAATAAATCCAATAAAGCAATTAATCCTGATAATGTGGATTAATTCGGATAAAATTTTGTATTTAAATGCGCTATTAGACTCAGAATACATGCATCATAAGAAAGATACTTCAAACTTTCTTTTCACGGGCAAGCAATATTTATTACATTTTCTAACTTGATAGCTCTGGCTTTATCTGATGCTAAATCGGTTGGGTTAAATCGGTCAAATTTCATTCCATTGGTCTAATATTACACAATATATTACACATTTGCATAATAAAACAAAAGTCGAATGAAGATATATGTGGGAGCTATTATCTAAATCAGAGCCGATTTTCACAAGAGTTCAATAGGATTCGTCCTTGGGTCGAACAAATAATTGTGGAAAATTTCATTTCAATCGGATAATAAATGCGACATATGTTTTTGTTTGTAATAATACATGAACAGAGTCACAGACAGACGGAAAGGTCATGCATAAATCAACTCGGAATGTGATAATATGAAGATCATTCAAAGGACGTATTTCTCCTTGAAAATAAAAATATTTTTTTATTTGATCTTTAAAAAATAATTATTGTAATCGTGTATACTCCCTTATGTGCGACACTTGTAAAGCGAAAATCAAACACCCGTGCGAACATGGTGATATGTTTCCTTCAATAGCGCACAGATTATAATCATCTCTCATGTATCTCTTCTATGCTTTCAAATGTATTGTGCATAACCAAACAAGACCCGAAAAAAAAGTTGTGTGTGTGTAACTTCGGCAAAAACTAAAAGCTGAAGTTAGTTGAGGAATATTTAGTCTCTACCAGAACTGCAAGAATATTATAGTTTTACTACGATTCCCTTTATGATATCAGAAAAAATTTCAAAACTAGTAGATTCTTACAGGTTCTGGAACAGAGAAAATTTTAATGCTTAAGTCATGTCCTGACGAAATTAAAATAATGGATACGAGGAGTCACTTTCCGAGTCGATTAAAGGAAGTCTGTCCGTCCGTCAATCTATCTGTCCATGCATTTTGTGGACAAATACAGGTCGCATTTATTGTCTGATTGAGATGAAATTTTCCATACATAATTTATTTGGCCCAAGGACGAACGCTATTAAAATTAGATTTAGATACTTCATATGTATCTTTCTTCGTTTACAGGTTTATAGTGTGTAATATTAGCCGAAGTGAAATTAAAAGTATAAGTCGCTTTTCACGAAATTTGAATACCTTCAGAATATGTCTTCATTAAAATATTTTTTGACATAATTTATGATCATTCAAAATGATACCCCATTATGTGGAGAGGGGGTGATTTCCAAAGGAATGGACCAATATTTTCTATTTTGTGTCTGACCTAAGTCTGATATAAATATCACAACGTGCCAGTTTTGGACCATATGGACTACTTCCTTCACTTTATGTGTGTGATAATAAGACATGTCACAATTTTTGAAGAAGGTTGAAATGTGTGTGTGGGTACCATATATAGATGACCGAAGTATTCATCTTATGCTGATAAAAATATTGGAATGTGTGAAAGTTAAAGAGAATCGGATACTTTTTTCGCATTTTATGAGCGTTTCGCTATTCAAAATGTAGACCTTAAAGGTGGAGGTACCATCTCCGAACTCGATCTAGATTTGATAATAAGTTGTAATGTAGTTCAACGAGTTTCTTCAAACCTTGTATATTACAATATTTTTACCAAAAAAAAAATCTGATCTGAATATGAAATTTATGGGTCCACTCCCTCTGGTGCCTTCCCAATTTTTTCCACTTTTTGATTAATTATAACCCCTATACATGCGAAATGAATCAACGATTTTGTTCAAGAATCGATTTTCTTCAAAACCGACGGATACTTTTTAACTTGTTGCCATATCAAATGATATATACCCTCTGTAGCTATATAGCTGAGGGTATAATTAGAACGAATCAAGCCAAGAAGTGACTATAGCTCCCATATATCTTCATCCAATTTAAGATTTATTGTGCACCAAATGTGTAATATTAGCCCAAATAAAAGTTTGCTCGTATGGTCAAAACTAAGCAAGAAGTGACTATGTAATTTGGTTAAAGTCGAATCATTTATAGATTTAGCTATCATATATATCCTCATCCGATTCATAGTATATTGTGCACCAAATGTGTAATGTTAGCCCATATGGGATGGACAGTTGAGCCAAAAAGTGACTGTAAATAATTTGGTGAAATCAGTTTAGATATAGCTTTAGCTCCCATATATATGTCTCATCCGATTTTCTTCTTTAAGCCCAACAGCCGCAATATGCACTCCATAACAATGATTTTTGGTGAAATGTGTCTTTTATTAAAGAATGGAAATGAATTAGAAACAACGACGGCTGTGGGAAGGGGAACTTGTGCTCCACTACCTTCGGATCCAAAGCAGGCTAAGAGGTAGTCGAAGAAGTACCATAAAGTGTCTAAATGACGTGTTGCACAATATTGTCGCCATTTGGTTGTTGTTTTGTCCATGACGTGTGACAAAGAAATCTGTAACGCGTCCACTTTTTAGTCGTTATAAAGAAACCAATATTCTTGATTCTTTGTTGTGTTGAATCCATGGTAGAAGAATATAGGTAGATGCATCAACGCTTGCGAACATTGATATGTCAAAGTTTTAAAATTGTTTTGTCAAAAATAACTAGATTTTTATATAATTTCTTATACGATGCAAATCGGAGGTTGTTACAATATGCATTTTTTCTCAACAATTTTTACAAATTTTAATAATTCTCATTCAACATTTTCAATTCCAAAATCGGTTTGATAGTTCATTGTCCCAGCAGCTGTGTCGAAGTGTCTACCTGTATTCTTCTACCATGGTTGAATCTGTAAAGCCAGTATCATAGGTGGCACTTGCACTATTTGCACAAAGTACGGAGTAGCGATGATTAACGGCGTTATATATAGTTGATAATTTGATGAAACAGGGTAACTCTATCTATATATTTTTTGGTTTTTTATCCCAAAAAATCATATTTTTGAGCATACATATTAAAAATTAATATATATTTTAGAAAGTAATATGAGTACAAATCAAATAGCCATAGAAAATCAATGTGTATAAATTTTGTCCCCGAATTCAGAATGTCCTCTAATAATTCGCTACAGCGCTGAGAATTCGGGGTCAGACCCCAAATACAGAAAATGTCCCCACAAAGTTCGAAGTATCAAAACTAATTCCCCAAATAACTCTCTCCACATATATATATATATATATGTGGAGAGAGTTATTTGGGGAATTAGTTTTGATACTTCGAACTTTGTGGGGACATTTTCTGTATTTGGGGTCTGACCCCGAATTCTCAAATAACTCTCTCCACATATATATATATATATATATATATGTGGAGAGAGTTATTTGGGGAATTAGTTTTGATACTTCGAACTTTGTGGGGACATTTTCTGTATTTGGGGTCTGACCCCGAATTCTCAGCGCTGTAGCGAATTATTAGAGGACATTCTGAATTCGGGGACAAAATTTATACACATTGATTTTCTATGGCTATTTGATTTGTACTCATATTACTTTCTAAAATATATATTAATTTTTAATATGTATGCTCAAAAAATATGATTTTTTGGGATAAAAAACCAAAAAATATATAGATAGAGTTACCCTGTTTCATCAAATTATCAACTATATATAACGCCGTTAATCATCGCTACTCCGTACT